AAAGGGAAAATCTTGTCAAACAAATCTGCTAACATTTTTTAGGAAAGTCTTTGAGGTAGTAGATAATGACAAAAATTACGATGTTATTTACTTAGACTTTAGCAAAGCATTTGACAGAGTACCGCATCAGAGGCTTCTGAGAAAAATTAAGGCTCATGGTATCGAGGGGAAAGTTTTAAATTGGATAAAATCATGGCTCACCGATAGAACGCAGAGGGTCAGCGTAGATGGTGTTAAATCTGAGTGGGGCCGTGTAACCAGTGGGGTTCCCCAGGGGTCAGTACTAGGCCCACTCTTGTTCATAATCTACATAAACGATCTAGATACTGGGATCAGCAGTGACATAAGCAAGTTTGCAAATGCATTACAAGAGGACCTAAATAAACTGTAGGGGTGGTTTGAAAAATGGCAAATGAAATTCAACACCAGCAAGTGCAGCGTACTTAATATTGGAAGAACAAATACTTATAATGTATACAGCCTTAACAACATCAACCTAGAGAAGTCGACTTCTGAAAGAGACCTAGAGGTACTTGTAAGCCCGGACCTACGGCCTAGAAAACAGTGCGTTAATGTTCGAAATAAGGCAAACAGAGTATTGGGTTTTATATCTAGAAGTGTAAGTAACAAGAGTGCAGAGGTCTTATTGCAACTATATCTTGCGCTAGTCAGGGTGCACCTCGATTATGCGGTTCAGTTCTGGTGCCCCTATTATAGAATGGATATAAATTCACTAGAGTCGGTGCAGCGAAGAATGACAAAAATGATTCCGGGACTTAGAAACCTTCCATATCAAGATAGGTTAAAGAAACTTAACTTGCATTCCCTAGAAAGACGAAGAGTGCGGTTAGATATGATAGAAGTATTTAAGTGGGTGAAAGGAATCAATAAAGGGGATATAGATAAAGTTCTTATAATATCCGAGCAGGATAGGACTCGGAGCAACGGATTCAAATTGGATAAGTGTAGGTTTAGGAGGGAGATAGGAAGAAACTGGTTCACAAATAGGGTGGTGGATGAGTGGAACAAGCTTAGCAACTTTGTAGTAAGTGGGGGAACGCTGGAAGTTTCAAAAGGAGGCTAGATAGATTCATGGATGATTGAGAGTGGTAGTAGCTCTCGACAGGAGTTGCCAGGCACAGGCCAACCGGCCTAATGCATTGATGTATCTGATCACCTGTTAGAGAGAAGTGCTGGCCCAGCAGGATGTTCAAGAGTCCCTCGTGAACCACCAGAACGTGGTCCCCTCTCCTGACCAGCGTGTCAATGCTCCTCAGATACTCATAATTCTTCTTGCGGCTCACTCGTGCGTCTTGCTCCATGTCGGCTACCTCTTTCAGGATACCACTCTTCACCGACTGGAAAAGAGCAACTTATGTCATTATTTCTTTCTTAATGTGGGACCGACTTAAAATTTTGATTTGCACCATAATGCAAAGCCTGTCAAACTTATACTAGTATATCGAAATGTCATCGATGCTCATTTTGATATTTTTTTTTTCTTCTATCTGCTTACTAAATTTTAATCGTCTTTTTTACTGGATATATCAGGTAACTTAAGCTTTAGATTCGCAGTATAACAAATCTTTGATATATACTGAACATAACTAGATATAAGGATAAGAATGACGAATATAATTTCAATTGCAATACTAAAGTTCATTCATTTCTTATTAAAAATAAATATTAGTCAGACGTTAATGTGTTTGCAGCCGGTAGAGGATAAATCACAAATTCCATAGATAAAAAAATACTGTAGGAAAAATATTTAATTTTATTACCAGTGAATCAATTTCCTCTTAGTATAAAAAAAATCAATACAACTCGGATATAAATACACGAAAATACTGTTCGATTTCCGATTCTTTCTGCCATATTACAGATGTCGATGTTTCATCTACTACGTCTCGGAGTGTTTGGTAGGGCTCAGCGATGTGTCTCACGGCCAGGAGGGACATGAGGTTGCCGGCGTAGCTCCGTGTTAACACCAGAGTCATCAACATCCACACCGCCAACAGTACCCGCTCCCACCACCACGCAGAGCAGAGGGATACGTCTGTTAAAGAGGATACAAACATTAAAACACGCAGGTAAATAGCATTTTTTATTTATAATTAACCATATTTACTATACTTCGGAGGCATATGTCTTAATGACACTATTAAACGTATTTTATCAAACAAATAGTCTCATCCTGTTCTTCAGTGTAGTTCATTGGGTCTACCATAGATCATCGACGGCTACGTCATCCATTCTCACGTCCCAGTCAACTAGGTGGCGTCTGTTATCATCTCCTCAGATCAACACACATGTTTGGATACGCCTTGCAGTCGTTATGGAGCCCCAATAGTAATAGTTGATTCGCCATTCATTGAGTCACATAGCCATGTATTCTGGGTGAGTATTTACCTTGTTGAAGAATTATACGAATGAAGTCGTATGCCTTCGCCATCCAGCTTGTAGTGCCAGAAATAGTCTGAAAAACACACGTTTTCAACAGGAACACAGTGGCAGGCAACACTAGTAGCATCGTCAGGATGGCCGCCCACACCATCGGCGACAGGGGCAGCAGGAAGCCCCACGGATCCACCTCCGGCCGCCCTCGACCAGCCAGGATCCTGAGGTAGTTTATCTCCATTGGCCAGGTGAAGTCTACAACCTCCATCCTGCTGGCGCTAACGCTGAAGGGCGCCACACTTATGTCCGCTTCCTATACCCATTATAAGAAAGAAAAATCATTGTGAGGATTTACTTGTAGTCCTTACACAATCATGAAGGCTGAGTTTTAACTTTTCTTTTTACTTTGGTTGAGGTGAACCTGACAACTACCGTGATTCCTCACTTCTCTTACCTCCCTGGCCACCATACCCAACATGCCGGACCAAGACCCGTTGGCGTGCCTGGAGCCGAATAATGCATTGGGAGGCCGGGCGAACACGAATCTTATAAACAAGAAAAATATCATTAGTGATACACACTCATACTGAATTCACTCATAAATTATATAAAAATTATCATCACATAGTAATAAATATAGAGGTAAATAGTATCTAATTCATTTGTAGACATTATTAGTCTCTTTGTGTTTTCCCGTCAGAGTGTATAGCATATTATAGAAGTATCGTGAGATTTCGATATTTGGTTTTAATGATTTATTGCCAAAGTAAAGACCAGTAAATAATGTTTATGATGGCAAAACTTTAATATTTATCTGGGAACAAATATAGTGCATATTAGCTAAGGTCAGTTAAAATCAACTCCTCTGACCCTCAGCAGTTGGCCTCTGACCCTCAGCCAGTTGGCCTCTGACCCTCAGCCAGTGCGGACCTGTGTTCCTGTCAGTGTTAGTGACATAGTGACATGGCAGCTGCTGACGAGTACTCGACCACCTCTCACGTTCTCCAGCTTTGTCTTGCCTTGCAAGACCGACTGGAGAAGGATGAGAAGGAGGTCCAGAGTCTCAAGGGCGAAAACTTAGCCTTGAAGCTAGTTTTAGAGGAGAAGAAAACCTTTGCCAGTGTCGTGAAGGACGGTGAAGTTGAAGTGGATTCATGGAAGGTAGTTGCTGCTAGTGCTACAAAATGCACTCTAAAAAGGCACTCAGCTGTAGACCTAAACAACAGGTTCAGCACCTTAAGTGACGAGTGTGAGGAAGGTGCTAGTAACACCACGAGTGCTACTCCCTCTGTTAGTGTGGAGAGAGGGAGTAGCGCAGGTAAGAAATCACCACACTCAAGTAAGGTCAAATGTGTTTCTGTCATGGGAGACTCGATGGTGAAGCATTTAGGTAACAATCTCTGCACTATAGTTAGGAAGCTCGAGTGTCTCCCCGGGGCAGGGATAGGTAGAGTACTGGAGAGAGTGGAGAACGTCATTGATGATTGTGGAGACAACCCCATAGTCTTACTCAGTGCAGGAGGCAATGACGTAGGTAAGCTTACCAGTGTCGAACTGCGTAAACTGTATAGGGAAGCTCTAGATAAGATTAGGGTGAAGGGTGGAACTCCTATTGCTTGCTCTATCCTACCTAGACGTGGTGCCAGTCGTGAATGGATGTCCCGCGCAATTGGTTTCAATTGCTGGTTGGAAAAACAGTGTAAAGAGCTGTCGACGCCATTCATTGATAGTTGGAGCCTGTACTATGGTAATGATAGTATGTATGCAAGGGATGGGGTGCATCTAAGTAGGAAGGGGGTGGCGGTGCTAGAGAAGATAGTTGACAGGGTAGTAAAGGTGGGGTTTTAATATGTCCAAATCCCATCAATGGTAAAGAGAGGAAAATACCATGTGAAAATAACAGCAGTGAAACAGAAGTAGATAATGCTGAAAATATAGTTAGTCATAATAACAAACATCAAAGTAATAAATGTAAAACAGATAGAAACGGAAGAAATATATTGAGTGTTTATTATACTAATAGTAGAAGCTTGTGTAACAAAATGGACCAGCTCAGGGCCATTGTTAGTAAAGAGAACATAGATATAATTGCAATAACGGAAACATGGATAAATTCAAACAGCAAAAATTTTTTAGCAGAATTTCATATTCCAGGATATAACCTATTTAAATTTGACAGAGTAGGAAGGAGAGGGGGCGGTGTAGCAGTGTATATCAGGGTGTCATTAAAAAGCTGCAATAAATCAAACATTAAAACAAATAGCGACAATGAAAGTATTTGGGTAGAGATTGGTGAGGGCAATGAGTCCGTAGTCATTGGTGTTATATATAGACCACCTAATTTGAGTAGGAACGATGGTAAATTGCTATGGGAGGAAATAAAGAAGACATCTGATAGAAACAATGTATGTATTCTAGGCGATTTCAACTTTTCAGGCATAGATTGGAAAAATCAACTTAGCAATAATGAATCTGAAGATTTTCTAGAAGCAGTACAATATAGTTTTTTATATCAATTCATAAACTCGCCCACTAGAGGAAATAATATCCTCGATTTAGTTCTCAGTAATAATGAAAATCTAGTAAAAGATGTTGGGATTGGAGACGAACTAGGAAACAGTGATCATAAAGCCATATATTTTAACTTAATATGGAATGGCAGGAAGAAGGAAAATTCGGCCTTGATCCCGGATTTTAGGAAGGCTAATTACGGTAGCTTAAGGAGAGACCTAAGGGATGACCCTATGGTCAAAAGATTAATCCCTCCCACACCTCCGGAAACTGACAACTTAGGACGGGAGAACCCCGAATTTAATTTAGCAGCTACTTATGAACAATTTATTGCGACAATCCATAATGCTCAAAATAAACACATCCCTAAAAGAAAATTCAGATCGATACGGAACCAACCAAAATGGATGAATAATAGACTCTTAGATCTTCTAGGGAAAAAGAAAGGAGTATATAGAAAAGTTAAGAAAGGCGAAAATCACTTACTTGGTTACTATCAGAGCCTAACAAGACAGGTAAAAACAGAAATTAGGAAAGCAAAGAGAAATTATGAAATCAAGGTAGCAAACGAATCGAAAAATAACCCCAAAGCTTTTTATCAACTGTATAAATCAAAGGTTAGAGATAAATAGGTCCCTTAAAACTACGACAGGAGAAATGACTGATGATGAGTTAGAAATGTGTAGTACGTTAAATAGTCATTTTCGCTCCGTATTCACAAATGAAAACCTAGCACAGTTTCCAGAAGTTCATAAGGTATATAACGACAGTATAGAAAATATGTTGATGAATATCAATATTACTAGTAACGATGTGCTTAAAGTAATTAACAAACTGAAGCCTCATAAATCGCCTGGTCCAGACGAGGTATATGCTAGAATATTAAAAGAATGTAGAGATGAGTTGAGTAATCCATTAGCAGTTTTATTTAATAAGTCATTAGAATCGGGCCTAGTGCCAGAAGCTTGGAAACTTGCAAATGTAGTTCCGATTTTCAAAAAAGGTGATAAATCAATTGCATCAAATTACCGTCCCATTAGTCTCACGTCAATCATAGGCAAGTTGCTAGAGTCAATTATTGCTACAAAAATCAGAAGCCACCTTGAAACATTCAACTTAATTCATTCTTCTCAGCACGGGTTCACCCAGGGACGTTCTTGTCTCACAAATTTGCTTAGCTTTTTCTCAGAAGTATATGAAGCGGTAGATAATGATAAGTCATATGATATAATTTATTTAGATTTCAGTAAAGCATTCGATAGAGTCCCTCATGAGAGATTGATAAGGAAGGTAGAAGCACATGGAATAGGTGGATCATTATTAAAATGGATTAGGTCATGGTTAACTGGTAGGAAACAAAGAGTCAGCATAAATGGATTTAAGTCAGACTGGGGTGCGGTCAAAAGCGGAGTTCCCCAGGGATCTGTATTAGGCCCTCTGCTGTTTGTTATATTCATTAATGATCTTGATTTAGGTATAACTAGTAGGATTAGTAAATTTGCAGATGATACCAAAATGGGGAGAGTGATAAATTCAGACAGTGACTTTGAACACCTTCAAAGAGATCTAGATACCTTACATGAGTGGTCAGTAGACTGACAAATGAATTTTAATACTGATAAATGCAAGGTACTACAGATAGGGAAGACGAATACAAACGTTAAGTATAAATTAGGTAACACGGAAATAGAAAACTCAGATTGTGAAAAAGATCTAGGTGTATTTATTAGCAACGACTTAAAACCTAGAAAACAATGTATTAGCGTTCGCAACAAGGCAAACAGGATTCTTGGGTTCATATCTAGGTCTGTGAGTAACAGAACTGCTGACGTTATATTGAAACTTTACCTAGCATTAGTGAGGCCACACATGGATTATGCGGTTCAATTCTGGTGTCCTTATTATAGAATGGACATAGATTCTTTGGAGAGAGTACAAAGAAGAATGACAAAAATGATCCATAATATTAGAAACCTTCCATATGAAGAAAGACTGAAAAGCTTAGGCTTGCATTCATTAGAGAGGCGTAGAGTTAGGGGAGATATGATAGAGGTGTTCAAATGGGTAAGTGGGATTAACAAGGGTAAAATGGAAGATGTTCTGAAGCTCAGTAATAACGAAATAACTAGAACAAATGGCTTTAAATTAGATAAATTCCGATTCAGAAAGGATATAGGCAAACACTGGTTTGGTAATAGAGTTGTGGATATGTGGAATAGGCTACCGAGTGCTATAGTAGGATCGGGGACGCTAGGAAGCTTCAAGACGAAGTTGGATAGGCACATGGAAGTACTGGGATGGGTGTGAAAGGGATCTGCCCTGTATGGGCAAGTCGGCCTCCTGTACTATACCACTTTCTTATGTTATGTTAACTAGACTACCAATCCTTAAATGACATCTACAGTACACTTTGTTTACTCAAGAAGACTGTGAGTTGGTCTAAGATAATTTACAAACAGTGAAACATACAATTTTTTTCCTATCCAAATATTATCGGGTCATTTCACATGAAAAGATCCGTAGCCCAATACATACGTGAAATTGAGTCCCTTAGAGAGGTAATCCAGGATATCTGTCATGGGCCCCTTGAACCAGACTCGTTTTCTTCCCGGTGCTCTCTCGTCGTCTAGCATGACTTTCTTTTGTATTGCACCTTCTATCATCGTCGCCACAAGAGTTGGCCGATGAGGAAATCTGTCAGGATTAGTAGCAATTTCTATTTGGTGGTTTGACCTTTTATAATAATATTTGTTTTAGGTATCCTGCAAATGACAGACGTGATTATTTTTTCTATGATAAAATGCACGCAAAATCACGTAAATGTACAAACACACACGCCCATACACAGACATTAGAACAAACAAGCACACTCAGACAAATAGTCCACGTGACCCAAGTACTACCGCCTGGGAAGATATTGGAAGCATAATGTGTTGTCTAATGGTAGACCCTGCTGCCATATGGCTTCACGAAAATTGTGACCAAGTCCTAGGCTCCTCATCTGACTTTCTGCCTCATTTACACACACTTGCAGGGTCTCAATTGTTTCTCTTACTATTGACAACATACATATCCCGTATATCATTTCTCACTATTGATGTATTTAAAAAATATTTACATTTATTTATGGCTCTTTACCATTAATGTTATTATTATTATTATTAGTATTATTATTATTATTATTATTATTATTATAATTATAATTTATATTAAATTTGATTAATCTTATTATTGTTTTTATTATTTTATTATATTTTTGCTCCCAGACCTTGATGTGGGTCATAAAATTACCTGTGCCCAGGTGGGTTAATGCCCGTAAAAAAAAAAATGCAATGTAATGGAAGTACATTTAAACTCGTCCTTAAAATATGGCAATAATTAATTTTCCCTCTGTCTTATAAACTTGTTTTCGTTATGTGAGTTTCTTAACTGTAAAAAATATTTAAAGATGAAACTACTTCAAGGGGATATAGTCCAGTAGGAATTGATGCTGGACCCGGAAAATTTAGATAACAGTCAGGTTTTTGCACAGAGAACTTCTGTTTAACCCAAAATAACCACACACAAAAATTCCCAATGAAATCCAAAACGGGAAAGGGGTTTTTAGCGAAATTTCAAAATGGTCGCGAAAATTGACGCCTAATTGTAAGTTTCTCCATAGTTGGGTTATTATATAATCTAGAGGAGTGATAGAAGCGTCTAAAATTAGGTTTTGGGGTTCAAGGAATTGACTTCTGATGATTCTGATATCAGCTTAACAAAATGACAGGTGCTTATTATTGTTTATAAAAAGGGGCTGTCAAAAAGGTTTGAAATATTTTTTTGTGCGCTGACGTCTTTTGGCTGTATAATAGTTACAAAATTGTTTGAAAAGATATTCTCATGCCAGGTCATTTTATAATTACATTTCTGGGGTAAAAGTACAATGGTAATATATAATTTAAACTATTTTTTGTAGCCTTTGGATGTAAATTTTCCTATTGCTACAAATATCAGGATTATTGATTATCAAATACTCCATTATAGTGCAAATTGAAGTATGTGATAAGTCACATTATGATACTTGCTGGATCCTCAGGTTGGGCAGATTACTGACACTATACTGTTGTCTATTAAAGTTACATTGGTTGCAAAAGTGGTCTCATGGAGTTGTTAAAAGTGGTCTCATGGAGTTGTTAAAAGTGGCCCTGTTCCCCTATTTAGACAAGTCAGTGACTTACTTGTGGTCACACCAATTAATGGAATAGCTTTTACCACATCTGCTAAAGTTCACTTTGCGAATTCATACATTGCCCCTCACATTTGCATTGTATAATGTATGTGGAATTCCTCTCTGTTGGCACAACTACAGGAAACACAACGTTCACTCTTGGAGAAAAATCTAATTTCTGCCAAGAAGTCTGCTGGTGCTAGTGCCTTATCCGTGGTTATCGGCAGCACAGCTTCACCTTCCACCTTGAATCCAAACTCTTCTATAATGATAACCTAATGAACATAACGCCAGGTGTTAACTTAGCAGTGTATTCGCAAAGAGTGAAAGTACATGGCTCTTCTTGTAGGAGACATTCTCTCAAAAGCTACATATTTGGATGATGCCATATTCAAATAGCCCAGTTCATAAGTCCTTCTACATTTGTTCCGCCTTTGCAAAATACTCTCAAACACTTTAAAGCACTTCTTTGGGTGTTTTAGTGTCTCACCAAAGATCATAGTATGTGCCCCTTAACTGCAGTTTCATAATCTTCAATTGTCTTATGCCGTACATTCCAGATGTGTCATAGCCTGATATGCAATGAGAAAATGGCAAGTATATATATAACTCCTTTCCTAACACCTTTTTAGCAACTGAAATGGGAATGGCATGATCTGCGTGTAAACATGGTCAGAATAGTTTGTGTGGTGGAGCAACATTACCAGAATGTCTGTATCATCAGCAACGACAACAACACTGTCATAATGTCTGACAACTCCATTACTTTCTTTATCATGCAGACATCAGCATCCCCCTCTTCCTTAGCATGCTCTCCGTCAGGGGTGCTCAACCCCATTGTCTGATGGCCGCATGCGGCCCTTGGGGAGGTTTAATGCTGCCCTCGGCAACTTGTAGAAATTATTAATATTAATGCATATATTATAGAAATTAAATATAAACAAATACTATCTCTGTAAGAGGTGTTCTGATCATGAGTCCTTCTTTAGGTTTACAATATATGGTTAACAACTTAATAATTATAATCAATGTTAGTAATGTGGGGCCCTCACCACACAGTTGCCCATCTAATGTGGCCCACTCACGCAAAAAGGGTGATCATCACTGCTCTACATTGATGCGTTCCCTCTCAAAATGCTGAGACAACAATTTGATCAAACACTGCTTATACTTTTTGTTCCAAGAAATGTCTTCTTGTCTCCAGGTATTGGTGTTGCTTCATTTGTCGTTGCTTTAGATCCCGACCTTTTGTTGTCACTTCATAACTCTCAAACTCCACCTCAAGGGGAAGCCCATGTGAACTTTGAGAGACTCCAGAGGACAGGTAGGCAACACAAAATGCCTGCATAGTTCCAATCTTAGCCCAAGGGAGGTTATGCAGTGTTGGTGTCCATCTGAAGTATGTACCTAACGACATCTGCCTTATTTCCTTTCCGCAAACTTCTGTCATCTTTGAACAGTGCAGGAGATAGTGTTGCAAGTCCATATGGAAACACACTTTTATCAGGAGGGCAGCCATTGACGTATGACACGGACACAAGTCGGTGATGCAGCTCTTTTGATGACATACACACTTCATCACCAGATATCTTGAAGGGTTTTCGAAAGGCACCAAATATTTTTGCTTCTTTTACCCTCTTAAACTTCTGTTTTGATGAATTACTTCTCAGTTTGTGTAGGGAAGACTATGGTGACAAGATGGCGCTGGCCATCAGTCAGCTTGGGTAATAACTGGCTGGTCTCAGTACCGTAGTATGTGGAGCCCTGTGATTGGTCCTGGTCGGGAGGAGGAAAATCTGGTGTGCTCCAGTCAGTTACTGAGTATAGGCTGTGAAGTGAACATCTGGTCTCTTGTCTCCTAAACCATAAGTATGGAGTGTTAGTGAACTCTTATTGCTCCAGACCCCAGAGTTATTGTATTTTATATGGTGATGATTAAGATTTAGTGATTATATATTATAGTGTGATGGTTAGGATTTAATGTTCATTTATTTTTACTTGATTTTTCTGAATTCTTTTGTTGTATATATTTTGTATAATATTCCGTCATCAGCTTTAGTTACTTTTGTAAATAAATAGTAAGTTTGAACTTGCAAGGTAATTTTCCTTATTAAACAGGTTGAAGAATTTTTTAGGGAGGGGCGGGTTAAAAACTCGCTCTGTATCATAACACTTCACATATTCAAATTTCTTCCCACTCAGTTTATCTTAGATATCAGTTCCAGTTTTCAGGGCATTATCCACATTGAACAGCTCATCAGCAATTTTTCTCATTTTACCATCTTCACCAGCTCTGAAAGAACTGTTATTTACAAGGAATACCTTGAAGGTTTTCATGACTTCAGCATTCTTCTGAATGCTTCATGAGTGCATCTCTTTATGCTGTACTGACCACGACCAAGTAAACTTACCGGTAAGACAGTGCAGGGCATTAGTGTACATACTGTAGCTACAACATGTGCAGTGAGTAGCCATATGTTTCTTGCAGAGTCTGTGGGTAATATTGAGGAGTCCACCTGTGGTGTTCCCTTACCTCATTAAGTGTTGTTCTATGGTCATGTCTGGCCATGTCCCACTCCAAAACATACAAGCTTTTGTACCTCCTTACAGCAAATTCCCCATTTTGCATTGGTTCTCCTAAACACTGACATAAACTCTGAGAGCCTTGGAGATATAAACGGCAACATTTGCTTTGTTGTCTTGGATTAATCTCAAAACATGTCAATTTGATTGACATACACAAACAGTTAGCTGTTTTTCTGCGCCATAAAATGACTAAGTGTTGTTCCTGCTTATGAGAGGTCATATAGGCTATTTGACCTAGAAAAAACCCGAACTACCCATGTGGGAATTGAGAGGAATTTTTCCTGCAGATACTTAATTATATAAAGACGACTTTGAAATATAGAACTGGTTATCCAAAACGTCCAGGTTCAGCAAAAATCACGTCGATTATTACTGGATTGATATGGTAGTAACAAATAGATAGATGCCATCATATAAATTTCAGATTTATTTACCATATTGAAGTATACCAGTTTTCTTAGATACAGTACAGGTATGATTAGTGGTATAACAAATGGATCTGATAAATTTATAAGAAACATTTAAAAACATTCACTTTTTACGAAATTATATAATTGTAATTAGAAGTTTCACTCAATCGGATAAAAATCTTACTTGGAAAATTTTTCCTCAAAAAGTGTCGAATGACTGTTGATGGTAAGACCTTTCTCAGGAGTCCACGATGCAACACGAAGTACTTGGTCTTCCCGAGGAGTGAATGGCACGTGCATGTACACATTATACCTGTTATGGAACAGTTCAATATGAACAATACTGATAAAATCGTAATCAAATTGTATCCTAAACTTGGTAATAATATACGGAAATTGAAGGGACAATTGCAAACTGATGATTACCTAATGGAAGCTATGGTGTTGTCCACAGTAAGCACCAGGGAGTTCGTCTTTGAAAACATTCCATAAAGATGTTGGAGTTCCGAGAGGGGCAGGTGAGTGACGGCGAGGAGCCTCGTCGGCCACACCAGGAGGCGGCCCTTGAGGGACCACTCGGCGAAGGCGGCGAGGAAGGCTGGGTCGTCGCTCACCACCACCACCGTCAGACTCCATGACACTTGCCGCAGCTGTTCAAGCATGAGTTGTGTTCGAAAGTGAACTTACTCCATTGATGATAATGCCAATGGTCGATTAAAGTGGACAATTTGTTATAAATGCGTAATCACTGTAGCAGTAACTCGAAATATTATTTACCTGCCTCAAATTAGACAAATATCCTTTTTTATGTATTGATGCAAACATTACCTACCCGACGAGCCTCGCTGATCACCTGAGTAATCTGAGGTAAGGTTTCGTTCGTGTCTTGATTATGTGTTATCATTTCAAACACTCCCATTCCCCAGGGGGCGAAGAGTCCAGCTCTCATCTGAAAGAAAACAAACATATTAGGACCATTGAATTGTTTGTTTGTTTTCATGCCAAGTTGTTGTTTGTCCTTCTAGTGACTTTTTAATGGATTTCGCTTCCTGAATAAATATTTACTCAACAGTCAATGAAACAGGCACCCGACAAGAAAAAGTTTGTAATAGTCCTTTAGTTTTCTTTGACCCTCTTATTAAGTTTAAGTGTTTACTGGTTAGTTCCCTGCCTGTAGGTGGAGTCTTTCTTATAAACAGTGTACTGATTGTTTCAATCTTATAAGAAAAAATAAACTGGGGTGTTTATTTCCACAGGGAAGTTTTGAGATCGTAAGAAACTTTTAACCCACCAGGAAGACCGTAGAAGGTGACGTATTGCGATCTGTGAGCACGAGGACGGAGGTATTATCATGTCGTACCTTGGACAACACAGCCTCTACTGCTCCAGCAGCCAGGTACAGTGATTCTCGTTCCACTGAGAAAATATAGTTAGGGTCAAACTTCACAAAAAAATACAAATAAAAAATAACATAATTCAAGACTTTACACCAAAAGAGATAAGTAATACACTGATACACAATGAGGACTCTGAAGACCCTAATATATATTGAAACACAGATTGGACAAAATAAATTTCCCGCCCAAAAACACCACCTCATAAAACCCACTAAATGCTAATACTTTCATGTAGACACAAACAAAATATATCACTGACACAGCTCGATAAGGACCAAACAATAGTGCACGGGAATCTTATGGGAAAACTTACTGACTGGCCGAGGAAGCCTTGCCAGAACCTGACAGTCAATAGCAGCTAAGAAAAGCACCAATGCCGCCACAGCTGCTGTCATCTCAGCAAATTTAACCCGAACTAAAAAGTGAAGAAAATCAGGTTACTTTATTGAGAATAGTAATGATGCTATTCATCTAACAGTTGTAATTTATCTTTAAGAAATGAAAGTAGGTCTTTCACAGGTACTCTAGTGAACAGTGAATTTACATCAATGTGTTTAGAGCAAATGGGAAGTTCTACAAGCAAATATTTGGCATGAGCATGGGTAATTGTCTTTCTGCTCCTCTAGCCTGTATTTATATGGAGTTTTTTGAGTCTAGATTACTACCCAATATAGTAGACTTTATTCCTCCATGGTATAGATATGTAGATGATGTTCTTTGTCTTTGGCCTAGAAACAGTGACCCATTGGAATTTTTAGACAAGCTTAATGATATTGTTCCTAGTATCACATTCAAAATTGAAAGAGAAATAAATGGATCCCTTCCATTCCTTGATATGCTTATCATGAAAAATGGCCAAAACTACAAATTTAAAGTATACAGAAAGCCCACACAGGTAGACAGTTTCATACACTTTTTATCGAATCACCTGGAGTCTACCAAAATGTCAGTTTTTTCTGCTATGTTCTTAAGATGTCTGCTTATTTGTGACTCTGAAGTTATTGACGATGAATTGAAACACATTCGTTCCACTGCACAGAAACTCGGGTACCCTTGTGTGTTTGTTGATCGTTGTTTCAAAAGGGTTAAAAAATCCTTTCATTCCTCTCAAACCAGACAAGTTCCTACACTTAAGAATATTTCGACTCTGCCCTATCGTAATGAATTTGTCCCGTTAGTTCGGTCCCTCAAGCTACTAAATATTAATGTTGTTTTCAAGTATGACTCAACCATTACCAATATGTTAATAAGAAATAGCCAAAGTTTGAATGTAAATGGAAGTGTTTAATGTATTCCATGTAGCAAATGTAATTGTAATTATGTAGGACAGACAGGAAAAACACTGCAGCTCAGAATCAAACAACATAAGTACAATATCAGAACAGCATCTGGAAGCAGTGCCTTGTTCGTTCATGTTAGGAATAATAATCATCCCATTGCTTGGGAAAAAAGCTTAGAAGTATTTAAATCATCTTGTGTCACAGAAAGACTTCTGGTTGAAGCTAGTTTCATTAAGGAATTAAAATCAATAAACCTTAGTGATGGTCAGTTCAAAACTGATAATATGTTACATAAATTTATTTGTCAGTGGCCCAAGGCTAAAAATGCTTTGAAAACCTTTGATCTAGATGTATGATAGTTATTTAGTGGGTCCCTTATTTTTGACCTGACCTGACTAGTCACGTCACCCCCCTTCTCTTAAGCTTCTCTACGTGTGTGTTGGTGTGGGATTAGTGGATGATATCATTATGACCTGACCTCATGTTTTATAAGGTCACCCTGTATATTTAAGCCTCTCTCTGTCCATGTAATCCAGTTGCCTCTGAAGATGTATTGAATAAAGACGAAAGCTAAGGTGCTCCGTTGTTTCCCTTTTCCCGTGTGATTTTATCAAGATATATATATATATATATATATATATATATATATATATATATATATATATATATATATATATACTATATATATATAGATATATATATATATAGATAGATATATATATTTATATATATATATATATATATATATATAGTATATATGCAAGTAAATCACTGTAGGTGCGCGTGATCTAGGTATATGCTGATAACCACAAGGAAAGAAGAAAACAAGAAGTTCCCAAGCGCTTTCGTGTAATTCACATCTTCAGGGGTGAGTACAGACTAGAGAGAGTAATACAAATCAAGGTGTATATATACAGAGGAGGGTGAGAACAGGTCCACAATGGTCAGGTATTAGGTAATGACCCAACTAATCTTTAAATAGCACACAACGGTTGGTGGTCAGGTCAGATGGTCAAGTGACCCGGCCTTCTCACCTGATCACAAATCTTCTTAATTACAAAATTGTCCAGCTTGTACATGCCGTTACTCAAATTCATGTTGGATGTTTCGGTATGTTTAATAAGACTAGATTCTATGATGTTCCTACTATCAATTGAATTACATGGTAATATTGAGGAGGCATTATCCCAGTCAATGCAATGCTTGTTATCCCTCAAATGAACAAACAGAGCATTGGATTCCTGGCCTGTCCTAACACTGTATTTGTGTTGTTTAATTCTAGCTGCAAGATCTTTACCTGTCTGGCCTAAGTAAAACATATTACATTCCTTGCAAGGAACTTTATAAATGCAACCAATTGTGTTGTTGGGGGGAGTTCTTGATTAACATTTGTTTAACAGTGCATGAGTTTTTAAATGCCACATTGACGTTCCAGGTTTTTAGCTGTGCAGGAATGTGTGAGAAATTTTTGTGAAATGGTAATATTAAGATATTCTTATGGTCATGGGTGGGCTTGGGGTCAGTTCCATAAAAAGTTTTCTTAGTAATGTTTAAGCATTTGTCTATGAAAGATCTAGGGTATTTAAGGTTTGAGCCAATATTATATATATATATTTGTATTCCTCATCGATGAATTCCGGACTGCAAATTCTCAAGGCACGTAAAAACATTGTTGAAAATACTGACTGTTTGACTTTATTATGGTGGGCAGAATAATAATGAATGTATGAACACACATTAGTTGGTTTTCTATAAATACTGAACTTAAAAGTGTTACCTATTCTGTGTATCAGACAGTCTAGGAATGGCAATTTACAGTCTTGCTCTAATTCCATAGTGAATTTGATCGAGGGGGCTAAGTTGTTAAGTTGTGGCAGGAAAGCTTTTAGGTCCTCATTACATGGCCAGAGACATAATACATCATCAACATATCTAAACCAGACTGCTGAGGGTGGTAAAATATTACTTAATAGTTTCTTTTCAAAGAATTCCATATATAGGTTGCTTAATACAGGTGAGAGTGGATTACCCATTGCCATACCAAATTTTTGAGCATAATATTCCCCATTGAATTCGAATTTGCAATCCTTAATACATAGTTTGATGAGTTCGATGAAATCGTCTTTCGAGACGGGCAGTGAATTTGAGTAACGGCATGTACAAGCTGGACAATTTTGTAATTAAGAAGATTTGTGATCAGGTGAGAAGGCCGGGTCACTTGACCATCTGACCTGACCACCAACCGTTGTGTGCTATTTAAAGATTAGTAGGGTCATTACCTAATACCTGACCATTGTGGACCTGGTCTCACCCTTCTCTGTATATATACACCTTGATTTGTATTACTCTCTCTAGTCTGTACTCACCCCTGAAGATGTGAATTACACGAAAGCGCTTGGGAACTTCGTATTTTCTTCTTTCCTTGTGGTTACCCAGCATATACCTAGATCACGCGCACCTACAGTGATTTACTTGCATATATATATATATATATATATATATATATATATATATATATATATATATATATATATATATATATATATATATATATATATATATATATATATATATGTATATATATATATATATATATATATAATTTGTGTGTATATCAGTATAATACAGGAAAATAGTGGTACGTGTCTTGTCAATACTGTTGGCACTCAGCCTTTATTTACGTAGAGCATGTTACATGACTGATAACATAAGAAAATAAGGTGTTTGCAATAGGCTGGTTGGCCTGTGCATGG